TGTACCAGTAGTGTCTGATAATTGTGGGGAGGAGGCAGAGAAGAGGACAGAGATCATAGAGGCTGTGCTAACTGGCAGGGTGGAAAAGCCAGCTTGATGGGGAAAAATCTGGTTAGTTCTAGCCTTAGGAAGTCTAGGTCACAGGCTTCCTAACAGAGCTTCCAGAGAGAGGCTGGATAGAGAGAAGCATGTATGTGGGAGTGAGACCAGCCGGCCAGGGTGCTGTCCCTGCCTCTGGGGCTGAGTGAAATCCTCCTTGCATGTCAATGGGGCCCAGAGGCTCAGTGACTACCTAGATCCTGCATTGCTAGGGCAAGACCAGGACTCCAAAGGAGGTACCTGGTGGAGGCCTGTATTGCAGGAGTCTCTGCTAAGAACACTGGTCTGGCCAGGGTCTCTCCTGAATGAACTGAGGCTCCACAGGAACCACTTCATTCATCCTTACAACCACACTCCCCAGCGGACAGAAAGCCTCCCTAAGATCAGACGAGGAAACTGAGGTCTCATGGCTTGTGACTACCAAGCCTACCATGGTAGACCTAGGCTAGCCCTCAGTTCTCAGGGAGGCAGATAGGCCAACCATAATTAATATAAGGCCCTATATGTATATCCTGTACCATTCACACCCACGTCACCACCGTGGGGACACTGGCAGTCAAGGTGGCAACTCTTTCTCACTGTGTAGGAAAAGGAGCCGAGTCTAGAGAAAGTGGCCAGCCACAGGGAAACAGAGTTCTAGGTTCTTCTGGGTGCCTTGTGACTCAGAGATCACAGTAGCCTCATCTGAGTGAACTGCCTTTGCCTCCTGGTCTGCTGGGAGGTGGTACCCTAGCCTGGACAGGGCTATAGTGACCTCCCAACCAGGGCTCTCACGTGCCTGCTCGCTGCCTGCTTTCACTTTGTCTCTTTTGTCCCCTGCTGCCTCCAACCCCTGTGGCAGGCAGAGACACTTGCACTGTCCTTCGGGTACATTCCAGGGGTGGCTGGCTTCCCAGATCCCGTTCATCCTCAGCTCCCTCCCCCTCCCTACCGGGGAACACCACACACAGACAGTTGAAAGTCTTGTCTCCCAGCTGCTACAGCTAGGCTGGCTCCTTGCAGGGTCTCCCAAATGCCTCCCACAGAGAACAGGCAAGGGCATAGAAGTAGTTTGATATACTATACTATCTGATCATCAGTCCAATGGGCACATTGGAGTAAATGTCACTTTGCGATGAAGAGAGACACTTGAGGGCTCTGGCCCCCATGAAGCAGCCCCCTACCCCCCAACCCCCTGCACACCACTCCCTAGTCCAGCAACAGGCTCTTTGCACATGCTGTTCTCGCTCTCTCCTCTTCCCTGCTCATCTGTTAATGTCTACTTCAGGGCCATTTCCTCAGGCTGTGTCTAGCATGTAGCAAGCAGTCAACAAAGAGCTATTGAATCAAGGAATGATTACATTCACCCCCACCCTCTCATATCATCCTGTGGCACCCCCAAACCCTACCAGGCCTTCCTGACACCCTGCCATACCCTGTCCCAGAAGTCTTCTGATATAGGCAGTACTGGGCTACCCTGAGATCCCTGTTTCCCTGGGCACAGTCGCATGCCTCTTTGATGGTCTCCACTCTGGCCCCAGGGGTAGAAATTCTGATGGTGACACAGGGTTTTGAGGGTCCACCTGGGGGTGACCTTGCAGCCTGTTCTCTGGGGCCTACAGAGTTCCCCCTGGCTCCGCTCTGACCTCAGCTCTGAAGCTGCTGTAAGGATTCAGTGGTCCAGCACAGTCCCTCTGTGCTTATCTTTTGCTCAAGATGTGAGGCTGCCTAGTAGCTCTGGGACTCTGAGCAAGTCACTTACTCCACACCCAGCCTTAGTTTCCTCATTGGGAAATGACAATGATAGAAGATACTTAACAGGTAGGAAATGATGGCCACATTATTTGTAGGTTACAGTGGGGCCTCAGTAGGATTATTGCTGCTGTGGCAGTTAGAGTCCAGGGACATAGGTCTTGGTCCTCAAGAGCCATCCCAGTTGTTCATCACTCCCTGTCCCCAGCAAAAGTGCCCTGGGCACTAGATCTGGCAGCAGCCTCAGCCACTCAACCCACCTGTTTTGATTCACAGCAGATGCACTGAGCAGGGAAGTGTCCCCGGAAGATGACCCAAGCAAGAAACCAGAACTGGGCTCAAGGTCATATTTTGACCTCCAGGTCCTTAGTCTCTTTCTCCAGAGTGAAGAGAAACCGATTCTATAAACCTGACTACAAAAACCCAGCCAACAAAGAAATGAGAGGTCAGGCTCTTCCTGCCCAGCAAGGGTGTGCAGACTGGTCGTAACAAGCAGTTTTCCCTGGCCACCATCACATCATTGCTTCACCATCACTTCTAGCCCAGGGAACCAGCTGCAGAAACGGAGCTCTGACAGAGTGGGGGCTGGGCAAGCCCCTTGAGCAGGCTCCACTAAGCCTGTGGTGCAAATTAAAACATCTTCCTTTTTCTTTGCACTTTTTTTCCTGACACAACTGCCCATGAAACATTTTAATAACACTGGAAAAGGTCAGGGAGAAGGAATTTCATAGTCTCCGAGCAGGCAGCTGTACTGTGGCCCCTTCTGAGGCAGACAAGGCAAGGGGGGACTGAGATCTAAAGGTAGACTGGCCAACATGGCCAGATGGCTAGAAGATAAGGGTGGGGCGGAAATGTGAGGGTTGGAGTTGGGAGGTCAAAGAGGGAGTAATGTGGGGTGCGGTCAGTGAACCCGCTACCTGCCAGGAGCGAGGCAGCACCGTAAGGTGACAGAGAGATGCCGGTGGGAGTCGCCCATGCCTGCATTTGCATCCTCTGTCTCCAACCATGGGTGTTTTGCCCATTTTGCAGATGAAGGCAGAGGACATGAATGCAGGTTTGGAGGAACAGGGACAGAACAGCCTTTAGCAAAAATAGGAGACTGAGATCCACAGTGTATCACCAGGTCAACAGCTTCGTGGTGGAGCCCTTGGGTGGGAGTGGGGCTGAGAGGGATGTGGGGAAGCAAGAAGGCATTGGCTGGCCAGTTCTGGCAGCCGTGTGTACGGACCCTCAGCAGCTCTGAGAAGGCAGGGAGAAGCGTGAGTAGGACTAGAGATGGGACTAGGTAGGTCTTCGGCAGGCTCAGGCCTACTAATGCTCTGGATATGTCCAGTTTGAAGGGCTTAACTCCCGTTCATCAGAGACTGACATACTGTTGGGCTTATACCTCAAGTTCAGCCCTGCTCTACAGGTGTTCCAAACAATCCTGCTGCCTACAGCAGTGGCTCTCAGCCTGTGGGTGTTGATCCCTTTGGAGGTCAAACGACCCTTTCACAGGGGTCCTATATCAGATATCCTGAATGTCAGATATTTACATTACAATTTGTAACAGTAGCAAAATTATAGTTATGAAGTAGTAACAAAGTAATTTTTTAGTTGGGAGTCACCACAACATGAGGAACTATATTAGAGGGCCACAGTATCAGAAAGGTTGAAAAAATGCTCATTTACAGGAACATCAGATGCAAACAGAATTCTGCTCCCAGCAAGGATTACATGAATGAGTGCCCCAATAACACTAGGCCTGGACCACATACTAGAATTCTTTGTCACATGGTTTTTGACCTATGGACATGGTCGCTATCCCCTGCCTGGTTCCTTTATCACAGACTCCTTGGCACCCTTCCCCTAGACTTTGCGTGGTGTGTGAGACACACACTCCCTTTGAGTCCAGGAGGCTGGAGCCTTTCATACATCTTATTGGGTTGGGCCTAGAAGGCTAGAGGAAGGTCCAGGAGCCCAAGGTAATGGGTAATATATTGCTGATGTACTGTGGTGAAAGCTGGAGGAGACCTGGGCTGGGAAGCAGTGGATTCAGAGAACAGCCACAGCAGACTCATGGTTTCCATATGATGGCCTGACTAGCTAAACATCTGTTTGAAATATTATTAACTGTCAGATGGGAAGGCCCAGGGGGCTTAGTGTTGCTCCAGACCATCTGTCTGCAGAGTAAACACACTTGATGGTGGGGGCCTGCTATGGCAGGCAACGTCAGCTTGGAGCAAGAAGTGGCAGCAAGGCCTCTGTAGGCCTCTCCTGCACAGGAATGGGCATGTGGTAACTTAACATTTATTAAAAGACTATGATGGGTCAGACCCTGGGCTTCTATAGCAGCATCTACTATATAGATGGGGTCGGCGGCCAATTCGAATTTATAATAGATGCCTCCTTTGCATTGTCAGCCCATATAATCTGAACAGAACCAACTCATAAGTCCTAGCTCCACTAGGAAGTGTGACCCACAGCTGGCATGTCAGAATGATGACAGTTGGTGCCAAGACTAATGTCCTGAGATCAGTTCTGGGACACTGGTTGAAGCTACTGAAGAAATTATTTCCCCCCACTAGCATTGATAAGAAATCTGGAGATGTTGTGTCCTTCTCAGACACTGCAAAAAAAAAAAAAAAAAAAAAAAAGCTAATCTGAATGCTAATAATAGATTATTATTTATGTAAACACCTGGATACAGCCATGTCTGAACTCACTTCTACTGTCAAGTTACATGAGCTAATACTTTCTTGCTTAAACCGTGTAAGAGTTTCTGTCTCTTGCAGTTGAGGACCTTGACTGGCATATACCCTCTAGCTGCAGGTGGGATGGCTGCTTGTCAAAGGGCAAGGGCAACAGAGGCTTCCTGGGCAGCTTCAAGGAGCCTGGTCTACTCAGAAAGAGAGGGACATTCTCCTCATAGATGGCCAACACCCATCCCACTGATTAGATGGCGTTTCTAGGACTACATGGGATGCATTTCAGAGAAAAGAAAGAAAACTGAAGTCTCCTTCCCCATATTATCTCTACACAGGCTTGTCCATTTTCCCTGTTTCAAGGAGAGTCTGGACAACGTCATTCACCAACCAGCAGCCTCCGGGCACTTAGGCCACCTGAAACACAGATGCTCAGTTCCTGGGACTATCCAAGAGCTTATGGCTCCTGTGAACATGGAGACTTACCAAGACTGTCAGCACAGAGGTCCCCACGGTGATGTTCTCATACAGGCTGACATTGTAGAGTGGCTGGCTGAAGATGGGCCGGTTGTCATTTTCATTGATGAGGGTTATCTTCACCTTGGCATAGCCCACGTGGTCGGGCACACTCTCATTGGCAAAGAGCTAAGGGAGCAGAGGAGGGCCACATGAACTCTGATGTGTATCTGGAGCCTTTGCTTCAGTAAGACCTCTCTGTGCTTTGGTTGGTTCTAACCCTGAGCATCTGCTAAAGAAGGCCCATGACAACTATCTCCTATGAATCCCTTCTCAGAGCCTTCCTCAGGAACAGAGGGGTGCTGGAGGCTGGGGTGGCCAGAAAGGGTCACAGGGATACCAGAGGGGGATCTGGTAAATTCTCCCCTGTTCCTAGGCATATCCTTGCCCTCCTTGAGGATTTAGTCCCACCATTGCTGTTGCTTCTGTGAGACAGATCACTAGGGAGATGAGAAGAACTGGGAGGTAGGACTTAAGGAGATGCTATTCTACCCTCCCCAGACTCCTTTTCAAATTCCCCAGGTGGTCCAAGGAGATGGTGAAGGGAACTTACATCAAAGTCGTAGCGGTCCACAGTCTCATAGTCCAGGGGAATTGCCACTCGGATGCGGATGTCTGCTTTTCCTTGGACGGAAGTTGGGGAGATGATGAAATGGTGGGAGTTGTTTCCCACCAGGTACACCTCAAACATGCTGTTCAGACCCTGGGTGGAAGTGAAGAAGACAGTTGGAAAAGATGCAGAAGGTCTCAGGTTAGAGCCTAGTTGGAGGAGTAGAGGGTGCTGGAGGGTTGAGGCAGCAACATTGCTTTGTAGTGCAGTGGAGGAGGTATGGGCTGGGAGGGTCTTTCAGCCCTCCCCCTGGCTAATGATTGCCAGCTCAGCTGCCACCTCTAAGGCCAAAGGAGTCTCCTTTGTCTCTTTCTGTCATCCTGTCACATACTAAGTGCCCTTCTCCACATCTAGCTCCTTTCTCACCTCCTGGAACTTTATCAACTGAAAGATGCCAAAGGGGAGAGGAATCTGCCAGCATTAAAACCCAAGGGGAGTACCAGAGAGATGGCTCAGTGCTTAGAGGGTAAATGAGTTTGCTACCAAGCCCAAAAACATGAGTTTGATCCCCAAGGCCCACAGAGTAGGAGAGAACTAACTCCTGAAAGTTGTTCTCTGACCTCCACATGCGTGTTGTGGTATGTGCAGATTTTCATCACAGACTAAATACATAAAATGTAAAATTAACGGAAAAAATATATATACAGAGGGAGATGAAGGGAAAGGGAAAAAGTGAAAAGTGGTGAAAGAAAAAAAAATGAGGTGGCTACAGCTGCCTGGGACCCAAAGACGACAGGAAAAATATGTCAGGGAGACTGCTGGGCTGCTATGCATGGCGTGGAGATAACCCAGGAATCTGAGTGACAAAACCACTGCTGTGTGCCATGCACTCCAGAGACTCACACTGGGGCTGCATCAGCAGCTCTAGCCCATTGCTTTGGGGTTCGGTGTGCAGTCTTTTATTGTATCTCAGTGTTTTACCCTGGTCACTTTTTTCCCTTAGGGCCTCATGCATACTAAGCAAGAAGGTTCAGGGGGGTGACAGGGCTCAGAATCACATGCTCTCACTCAGCTCAGGGGGTGGAGCCAAGGCTGAAAGCGGAGGTGGAGTCTGCTGTCTGAGTTTGGTCTTTCCTGCTTCATGGGGAATTCCTCTCCAAGGGGTGTGTACCCTATCAGGAATGTCTGTCTGGCCCTGGCTACAGCTGTCCAGTGGTCACCAGCCTGAGTCTCTGGCTCCTATGTAACCCATCCATCTAATGCTCCACCCGAGCGGACGGACCCTTGTGGCTGAACACAGGGCAACAGAGTAATCATGGAGCTGGGATTTGGGAGAGCTCCCCTCTGCAAGCTCTTCATTGTGAGAAGGGAACCACTAGGCATCTCTGGCCCCGGAAGCTTTTTAATGCAGAACTGACCTGGTCCCTCGCACCAGGACAGGAATTCTGAGGAAGTGCAGAAGCCAGAGGCTGGTCCTGAGCCTCTTAGAGCCCAGTAGGTGGGCATCTCACTGGACTGGCAAGGTAAGGCACTGTGTACATCTGTTCTCAGAGCCAGGGGCAACTGTGACTGTCCTTGGAATAGGGACTGTGAACAGGATATGGGGGCAAGTGATGTCAGCTCTTTTCAGCCTATTCTGGGGTCAAGGCAGGTTGTGGGGAGCACCCCAGGGCCCCTACCCCAGAACAGCTTCTTGGAGACTACTGTATGGACAGTGTTACCCTGGGCCTCCTCAGTTACAGAATTTTAGGGTCTCTCTGGCAGGATCCATTCCACCAGCTGGAAGAGACCAATTAAATGCCTGAAAGGACACTAATAGCCAAAGGCAATGGAGTGTGACAGTTTTAAATAGGTGACACTAATGCCCCTCTCCCCTGAACTCTGGCCTCTTGACCACATTACTCACAGGCCTGAGAGGGTGAGGGGTGTCTGGACTGTGACTGCTAGGGCAGAAGAAGTTCTCTGTGATGCTCCCAACTCCACCCTAGCCCCCAGCCCTCCCTTCTCTTGCCAAGCCTCACTTACCAAGTTCTGTCAGGAGAAACGGTCAGTCAAAAAGGTGGAGACAAGGAGGAGCCAGAGGGAGAGCCACACAGGTGGGAAAGAAGAAAACAGAGAGAGAAGGCAGTGAATTGCTGGTCAGGGTAAAGGAGAGGGGCTGAAAGGGATCCCAGGATCTAGCCCATAGCCCACAGGGACAGAACTCTGAGGCCTCAGAGTCCACAGCTGAGGTAGTACTGGAAGAAAAATTAAAGAGAGTGGAGCACGGGCATGGGACAATGTAGGGAAAGTAAGGTCACAGAAGGGCATGCATGCTCTTCTCTATGCTGTCCTCCAGCCCAGATGACATTAGAGTAAGCTGTGGAGTGAGGGGCCATGTCCCCACAGTCTGCTTCTAGAAGCCTGGATAGAAACCCTGCAGAAATCAGCCTCCCCTCCCACTGCCATCTTTTTATTTCCTAACATGCAAAAAACAAAGAACAAGAAGGAGGAGGAGGAAGACGAGAAGGAGGAGAGGAGAGCCAGAAAATTGGAAAATGTTCCAATTTTTTCATGTCTCTTTCCAGAGATGGCCCCTCTGTTCTCAGGTCCTCGCCCACAGGGGCCCACGCTGACAGGGAGATCTCTTTGTGTACAGACACCTATACCTCCCAAATTGACACGAACAGAAGCACACTCTTCCTCCTCTTGCAGCTCCTCCTTGGCATTGGTTTCCTAGCCATACTCAGGTGCTGCTGCTGATCAGATGGCAGCAGACAGCTTTAAGTTCCTGCTGCTCAGCGTGCCTCTCAGCGCGGAGGAAGTGAAGATTTGCCCTGCCCTTCCTCCTGTATGTTTCTGTGTTGTTCTGTTTGCTAGTGTAGGAGTGTGTGTCCAGAGGTCAGCCACAGACATCTTTGCTCAATTGTTCTCCATCATTATCTTTGAGACAGGGCTATTCACTGAATCTGAGACTTATCAACTGGACTGGGCTGGCTGGCTTTAGGAATCTACCCCTCTTCCTCCCTCTCCTGCCCCCGTGCTGAGGTTACAGGTGCATGCCATCCCCAGGCCTGGCTTTCTGTGCATGCGGATTCTAAAGACTTGAACTCAGCTCCTCATGTTTGTTCCTCAATCACCTTACCAGATGAGATATTGTCTTCCCCCTTTCCCGGCTCTCTTAAAGGCTGCAGAGTGTCCCCATTGCATCAGCCCTATCTGCGCTCACTCTGGAATTCTGGGAGCCTCTGACACATAATAGGTATAAGAAGGCAACAGCCTCAGCAGGCTTCCCTTACATCCTCTTCCCAGGGGCAGCAGGCAGGGCGTGGTGGCAGTGATGACTCCTCAGGAGACATTTCGTTCAGGGAGGTTAAGTGAGCTCCTCAGGGTGGCTGGAAGGTGAGAAGGCAGAGAGCCCGTGCCTAGGTTCCAGGACAGTGTGTCTCGCCCCATGGGGATTCTGCTATAGAGTTTTTCCCACTGTGGTGCTGGGGTGTGGTAAGAAACAGGTTGGCCCTGTGGTCAGCAACATCGTTACCAGGATGACAGGCTTTTTGTTGCTATGACAAAATGCCCAGCAGAAGCAACCTCAGGGAGGCCCACTTTTTATGCCTCACAGTTTCAGAAGCTTTAGTCCATCATAGCAGGGAAGGTTTGGGGAGCAGAGTCACTCCTGTCTTGGGAGCCAAGACGCAGAGAGAAAATGCCCAGGATAGCTGTTGCTGTTCTTTGTCCCGCCCACAACCTCATAGAGGGGTCTCTTGTATCCCAGGCTGTGCTTCAACTTGCTATGTAGCTGAGGATGACGTTGAATTTCTGATTCTCCTGCTTCTACCTCCTCAATTCTGGGGTTACAGGTATGTGCCACGAGGCTTAGTTTATTCTGTGCTGGGGATTGAACCCAGGGCTTCATCCTAGAGCCTTGCACTCTACCAACTGAGCTGCATCCTCAGTTCCTTTGTGTTCTGTTTTTACTCTGTCTAGGACCCTGGACTATGGGGTTGGTGGAGGCTCTTCCCAGACACAGCCAGGAGTGGCTCTCTCAAAGTATGGCATTGGTACTCCATAGCATCATTATCACCATCTCTTTGGAGCTTGCTAGAAAGGTACATTTGTGGGGCGCTTCCTCCCAGGTTGATTAAACCAGAGACTCTGGAGTGGGTCCCAGCACCCTGTTGTAACAGCTCTCCAGGTATCTCAATGTATGCCAACATGTGACAGTTGCTGGGAACCTTCAAGCAATGCAGGAGCAAGCTTGGGCATTAGAGTGATCTGCAAGATGGGACAGAGGAGCAGAGAAGGTTTCGGGAAGCACACAGTGCTAGGGTATCTAGTTGCTGGGTAGACCATGAAAACTGAAGAGCCTCTTGGAAGGTTGGTGAACTCTGTACAGCGCAGTGTTTGTGTAAACCCTCAGGGCAGCACCGTACCTGCCATCATTTTTTGGAGTATGCATATGTATGTGCAAGTGTGGGCCACGTGTGTGCATGCATGCTTGTGGGGGCAGAGTTCCATCTTAGCTTTCATCCTCAGGTACCATAGGTTCGCCATTTTGGGTTTGTTTGTTTTTATACAATCTCACTAGGATCTAGGCCTTACCAGCGAGATTGGTGAGGTTGGCTGGCTGGGGAACCCCAGGGTGCTGTCTCTATTTTCCTAGCACTTGGATTTTAATCATGTGCTATTAAACTTGGCTTATAGGTGGGAATAGGGGAACAAACCCAAGTTGTTATGTATTTGTGGCAGGCGCTTTACTAATCCAGCCATCTTTCCAGTCCCTTCTCTGGCCTCTCAACAAGACCTCTGTGGGTCTCAGATACTAAGGTCTGTCCACTCCCGCTCTCCTCACCTGGATCCACCCCCAGAGGCTTAGGTCTGATGCCTCAGTTGTCAGGACTCTGTGTGCTACTGTTCTGAACCTTCCCAGAATCAGCTCTGACGAGTCCTCATATGCTCACCCTACCCCTTCCAGAAGGTCAGTTTCTGCCAGGCCCAAGCTGGGAATTCTAATCGGCTGGGATGGGTATATGCGAGAGAATGCAATCTTGTTTGTAGAGTTGGTGTGAAACTCTTTAACTACAGCCTTGGCCTGGGAAAAACTCTTTAACTACAGCCCTGGCCTGGGAGACTTTTGGCTCAACAGCTTCCAACTTTTTGCCCCAACCTGTGTGACACACAGCTGCATGACATTAGTATTTGTCTAGCCCCTCTATAAGGGTCAGAGAGGACAGCTATTCAATATATACAGCCATCAAGGAATGATTTGAATTCTGGTCTGTCCTGACTTTTTCGGGTCTAAGTTTTCAACCTCCACCCTCAGGCGTCCTGCTCTAGGCTGGCACTAGGGGAGCACAACTGTCTCCCTACCCATGCCACAAGTGGCAAAGAGAGGGTGGCTATCCTCCCTCCTTGGCAAGCCGGGCCTCCTCTTCTCATTTCTCTCTCTGGGGCTGCCAACCTGCTGTTGGAGGTGGCAGGAGGCATTTCTACTTGTTAAGGGGTGATTTTGTTAGAAAGGGAGATAAAAAGGACATCAAAAGGGAGCCTGGTGTGTGTGGAAAGGAGCCTGGGGGCTGGAGATTAAATTCTACTCTGCAGTGAAGTGATCAGAAGGTTGATTGGTGGGGCTGTGTCCTTAAGATGAGCTGTAGCGGGCTCCCAAGGCCAGGAAGCCAGAAGCTGCTGGCTGGAGACCTCTCCAAGGCTTGGTTTTATGTATCTTCTTGGGGGGAAGGCTGCACACTGAAATCATTCCTGGCTCCCTGCTGGCTTTCCCCAATTGCTCTTGGTGACTTCTGCCTTCCTGCCCCCTACAGAGGGTAGTTCCTTATCAGCCAGCTGCCAGCAGAGACTGCCTGGCCACTTCTCCTAACCTCACCCCACCTTCAGCTTCTGGAAGGGGAGGGCCACCAGAGGTGGGCAGAATGGGCCCTGCCCTTGCTCTTTGCCGCTAAACCTGTGTGTGGAACTGAGCCTGTGAATCTGTCACAGTGGGCTCCTGGCCAGGTGTTAGCCCCAGTTCTTCATGGGGTGAGGTGTGTTAGGATGCCCTGGGCTCTCTGCAAGTGCTGGCTCTTGAGAGCTCCCACAGGAGAGGACAGGGGGCCTGTGGTGGGTGGGGTGAGGTTGGCCTGACTTCTTTCTTCCTCAGCAAGTCCGTGTGGCCATGAGCTGTGGTCTGTTGAGCATCCTCCATCCTTCCACAGGTAACCTGGTTCCCAGAGTGAGGAAGGTCTCAGTGTATCTCACTACCCATGCCCAGGCCTCATCGAGCCAAAGCACATATGCCCTGCTATGGTGACACAGGGCAGTCTTTGCTCTCTGCTGTTGGTCATTGGCAGTGCCAGGTCAGGAGACCTGGCTCAGTCTCCCTGGAAACTTGGCTTCTCTGCTACAGGAAAAGGCTTCCCCTTTATGGATCTCAACAGAACCCCAATCGAGATGATTGTAAATGTTCCCTCTTTTAATGAAGTAAACCTAAAAATTAGAGAATGGCTATAGCACGCTTTTACTATAAAGATCTAGAGATCCAATTCTGAAACTATTAAAAAAAATAGTGCCTTAATTCAAGTTTTGGTCACACCCTCATGAATAAGCCTCCAGACAGGGGTATTTGTTGAGGAGGAGATAAAAATTCAAAAACCCTTTCTACCATCCCTGGCCTAAAGAGCAAGACCATGACTTATTTCTGACCACGGATGATAATAAAACTCTTCATTTTCTGGGCTCCAACTTCTAAACTTCCTTGCCAGTTTCTATATCTCGTCCTCACCTTCTCCGTTTCTCTAAAGCTGGTGTGGGCCTGTACTCTCTGACCTGTGAGCTGTGTCCAGAGGACCAGTGACAACTCCTGGAGCTCCATGGGCTGCTGAGAGCCCTTTAACCTGTGCTGAGAGCCAGGATAAGGAATTGAGATGCAGAGGGTCCCCAGAGTTAGTGCCATGCTCTTCAGAACTGCTATCCAGAGCTCAGACCCACCACAGGAGAGTCCTGCCACCACAAATCCAGTGGGGAACACCGAAGCTTAGTGGCTGGGGAGATGGCTCGGG